AACCAGGCCCAACACCTACATTGGGGAAAATAAATCTTCCCTTGGAGATCCAGATGTTTAGAACTTCAGACAAGGTCGGGAAATGCTGATAGTTAAATTCTTGATTTGGGATTTAGGAAGCAAAGTTACTTTCCTTGCCACTTGCCACCATTGTCATCTGCGAGACTTTGAGGAAAGGAAGAAAGTTTCCTGCCAGTCTTCACCATAACTGTGCCTGAGAAAGTGACTGCCAAACTAAAGAAATGTTGAGCTTCAATCTCTAGAGATTTACAATATAGTAGTGGAGAAAGAATATTTGCAAATGATAACATGTTTGCCATAATACCACAGAAGTCAAGAAAACTGAATGGTAAGACTTGACAGTGGTTAAATCAGATTGTGATTGAACAATGTGCACGTAATAATAGAATCTTGCAGTCACTATCACATTACATTTCCTGCCTTATTATCATTTCTTGGAGTACATGGCCACAGTGTGGCAGACACTACACTAGACAACTTCATGCATTTAATCTTGTTCAACTTGATAAACACTCCAAGGGGCAACCTTTGTTCGGTCATGTTAGGAGGAGGAAACACGGGCCTGAGGAAGTAAAGTAGCAACTGTTAAGGTCAGCCAGACAGTAATGTCTGCTCTTCAGGGACATGTATCATGTCCCTTATTCAGGGAAAAGATCACCTTTTCCTTTTAAAAATAAAAATCCACCATTTGAGCCCTGTGCAATGGCTTGATTGGCTAATCATCCCCCTTCAAACACTGGGATCCCATATGGGCACTGGTTCATGTCCTACCTGTTCCACTTCTCATCCAGCTCCCTACTTGTAGCCTGGGAAAGCAGTTGAGGACAGCCCAACACCTTGGGACCCTGCACCCACATGGGAGACCCGGAAGAGCTCCAGGCTTCTTCAATTAGCTCGTTCCTGGTATTGTGGCCACGTGGGGAGTGAACCAATAGATGAAAGATCTTTCTGTCTCTCCTTCTCTCTATAGATCTGTCTTTTCAATGAAAAGAAATAAATCTTGGGCCCGGCGCGGTGGCGCAAGTGGTTAAAGGGCCTCGCCTTGCACGCCCGGGATCCCATATGGGCGCCGGTTCTAATCCCGGCAGCCCCGCTTCCCTTCCAGCTCCCTGCCTGTGGCCCGGGAAAGCAGTCGAGGACGGCCCAAAGCTTTGGGACCCTGCACCCGCGTGGGAGACCCGGAAGAGGCTCCTGGCTTCGGATCGGCATAGTATCGGCCCGTTGCGCTCACTTGGGGAGTGAATCATCGGATGGAAGATCTTCCTCTCTGTCTCTCCTCTCTGTATATCCGCCTTTCCAATGAAAAAATAATAAAAATAAATCTTTAAAAAAAAAAAAAAAAAAAAAAAGAAAGAAATCTTAAACAAAATAAAAACCCACCATTTGCTCTCAGAGATCCTTATTTTCAAGCAAGAAGGAATTTAGTCATAAAACCAAGAATAACAGTAAGCATAATGATCAAGTTTAATGAAAAAGGGTACACCTGACAGACCAGGTGGACATCTTAGTTAAGAACTGAAATTCCAGTCCATTTGCAGACTGGAGTTTTTTGGATATAGGTCACCATTTCTCCTCCCTCCACACCCTTTCTATGATTGGGATATTCCTGTGAGAACTTCCTGATGGACACTTTCACCTCCTTGGTATAGAGCAGAGAAGGTTCCCCTAAGATTTCCCCTGTAAGTTTTGGTCTGCTTCCAAAGCTTGCTTTCACATTTCTTCTCTCATTCAGCCACACAACATGACTATATTCTTGCCCCAAAATTCCCATTTGCTTTTTCCTTCTTATACTAATGGCTGTCTAGCTACCCAAGTAATAGAAAGAAAATAGTTATTTTCAGAAACCATAATAGGTAACTGGAAATGGATATTAGTTTCCAATCAGTCCTTCAATACCTAGGTTACATTTTCTATTCAGGTTAAATAAGCTTCAACAAATCAGTGTTGAGAGAATCTTAGGGGTGAAGTTATCCTAGTTGGACAGATTAGGTCAATAAAACAGGCATGAAGCATCATACTCTTCTCAATCAAGATTCTACCACTGATGTTTTCACTGTAAATGCATTTTTAATATCTTCTAGCTATGGATAATGTCTTCATAAGCATTAATTTGGCACAGCACCGGCCATTATGATCACTTGAAGAGTGAATCATCAGCCAGAAGATATTTCTGTCTCTCTTCTTCTCTATATATATGACTTTGCAATAAAAATAAAGAAACTTTTTTTAAAAAAATGCTTTGTTGGGCCCGGCGCGATGGTGCAGTGGTTAAGGTCCTCGCCTTGCATGCCTGGGATCCCATACGGGCGCTGGTTCTAGTCCCGGCGGCCCGCTTCCCATCCAGCTCCCTGCTTGTGGCCTGGGAAAGCAGTCAAGGACGACCCAAAGCTTTGGGACCCTGCACCCGCGTGGGAGACCCGGAAAAGGCTCCTGGCTTCGGTTTGGCACAGCATTGGCCATTGCGCTGACTTGGGGAGTGAATCATTGGACGGAAGATCTTCCTCTCTGTCTGTCCTCTCTGTATATCCACCTTTCCAATAAAAAAATAATAATAAATCTAAAAAAAAAAAAAAAAAACTTTGTGTGGGGGCTGGAACGATGGCTCAGTTGACTAATCCTCCTCTGTTAAATGCTGGAGTCTGCACTTAGTTTTCTGACAAAATACTTCAGTAAGCATATTGGTCCAAATTGAACTAAAAAATCAGTCCTTTCCAAGGACTTGACCCTCATTACCTGAACACTTCATGCCAGACATACCTTTCCAGCACCATAACTAAAGCAAATCTCCACGCTTAATCCATGAACTATTATCAGACAAATAGATCCTTGCAACTCAAGTCTGGACAGCCAATACAGAAAGCAAAGTTGGTAAGAGGAATGGGTTTTTTCAAGAATCTAGCAATCTTGGGAGAAGTAGATCTCTGGACTCAAAATATGTTTTTTTCCACAAAGCAAACCAGTGAAAAAGGATTTTTAATGGGACAGGGGTAGTTACAGGGCAGAGTTAGGGGGAAAAAATCAAGTTAGTTGATTAGTAGGCAGATTTTCAGGCTTTGTTCTGATTATGGTCCATCTGAGAAATCCAGGGCTTAGCATGATACAGAGAGTAGTGTAAACTGGGGAGAGGTTTCCTTATGAGTGGACCCAGCACACTCACAGCAGCTGCCTGTGGGGGTCAGTGCACGTTAGACTCTGGTGCATCTAATGGCCTGGCTTGTGAGACGATGGACATGGTGAGAGGGTGACAGTGTTCTGCTTCCCAAGCATGTCAGGTGCCAGCCAACCATTCCGTGCAGTGAGGTCAGTGGCAGTGCATCTTTTGCCAGGAGAGAAGGTCCCACCTGTGCAGACAAATGGGGAAACCAGGTGACAAAAACGGAATCCTCCTTCCCTCTTTTGTTCCCTGCTGGAAGAGAAGGCAGGAGGAGGGGCGAAAGAAATACCTACACTGAAAACAAGGGAAGATGAAAGTAAGTCATCTTCAGTGTGCACAGGTTGGGCGATTAGAAAAGGGGCTCAGCAAGCATATTCTGCAGCCTGATGCTTAAGAAATTACCCCAGGCTTAGGTCACCCATTCCTACAACACAGTATTGGACCTGGAAAAATTTTAGTTGTGACTAAGACCTAGCATCTCTCAAATATGATTGGTTCTGATTAAATCATTCGCTTGGTCAACACATAATGAGCACCTATAGTGAGTGAGCAGTGTCCTCCAGACTAAATAAGAAGCCAGCCTACCCCTTCATGCTGTCAGTGTCCAGCAGGGGAATGGGCACCAACCCATGATAATGACACAAAGCAGTGGCTTCACCTAAGATTGGCATCCATTTGTAAGATTACTATTTCATTAGAGAGACCGAAGAAGAAGCCAGACTCTGGGCAGTTAAGGATGTGGCAACTATCTTCCTCATCACTTTTTCCTTTATTGAAATAGAAGGCACTTGAGGTCATGGAGAATGCAGATGTGATGGTACTTCAGTAACCAGCTCAACAGATTGTTTAGTATGTTTCCTCATGGACAGAGTGGAGATCTCACAGAGCGGTTGGAAAGATTAAGACAGTGACTGTCACTGGCACAGAACGATTCAAGTGATTGTAATTTTTCCTTTTTGCTTACTTCACAAAGAAATTACTATATCAGATGTTCTACTACATGTGATTAGACAGGTCCTATTAATTCTTAGTATAGACAATAGAAAGCCTAATAGAAAAGTCTAGGACAATAAAAGTTTCCAAAAAAAAATATTCCCGACATGAACTCATCACTGTGTAACAGGACCCTTGTCCTTCTAGCCTTTCCTTTTCCCCTGCAGTCATGTCGTTTGTCAGACTTGGCCTCTTCTAGAGAGCCCCATATACCAGACTGGGAGGAATGCTTCATTTAAACAGAGGTTTTTTAAAATTTGAAAGTCGCCTCTGTTTTCTGAATGGAAATCAAAAGGCAACATAGGAGTAGTCAGTCATATGTAATATTTCTATCCTAATGGGTAATTAGACTGGGATGAATAACTCTATGGAGTAGGTACATTATGTGAACAATGTGATGGGGATTGCATACCCTAAATATTTATATGAGACACAAAATTGGCCCTATTGAGGCAAAACAATAGGAGCAAAGATTCATGAGAAAAACAAATAAAATTGTTTTGTGAAATGTGAAAAAACAAAATTATAGAATACTTTATGTGCAATTTCATACATGAAATATAACTTCTTTACTAAAATGAATATTAAGTGTGGAGGGGTAACCTCTTCTCCCATTGCAGGATCATTCTGCTGACATACAGTCCAGTCAGAGCCACTGCAGCCATCAATTCTCATTTCACATTTGCTTCTTTGATCATATTCCCACTCAGTGCTGGACAAGTTTAATTTATTTGACTTCATCCTCCACTGAATTTCTGCTTCGGGTTTTCCATTTGTTTTCATCTGCTTCCTGTTTTGGTGCAGTCTCTTCTGGAACTTCTGACTGTGAAGTCTATTCTGGTGGGGGTGCCTCTGGAGGAGGGGGCGCCTCTGGTGGGGGAGGTGCCTCTGGTGGGGGAGGTGCCTCTGGTGGGGGAGGTGCTTCTGCAGGTGGGGGCGCCTCTGGTGGGGGAGGTGCTTCTGCAGGTGGGGGTGCCTCTGGTGGGGGAGGCGCTTCTGCAGGTGGAGGCGCCTCTGCAGGTGGGGGTGCCTCTGCAGGTGGGGGCGCCTCTGCAGGTGGGGGTGCTTCTGCAGGTGGAGGTGCTTCTGCAGGTGGAGGTGCCTCTGCTGGTGGAGGTGCCTCTGCTGGTGGAGGTGCCTCTGGGGGTGGGGCCTCCTCTGGTGGTGGTGGTGGTGGTGGTGGGGCCTCTGATGGGATTTCCTCCTCGGAGGGGAGCTCTGATTCAGATTCCTCCTTTGACTCCACTATTGACACCACTGCCGACTTCACCTCAGTGACGAGGAAGGACATTATGATGAGAACACACAAGACTACTATAAGAAAGATAGGGACTACGAAAAATAACATAGTCAGGCTCTCTTTGCTTGACCCTTTTACAACACGAGGAGTACTTGTGCCTGAAATTTTCGTTTTATTATACGGCTTGCCAGGGGGTCCACTGTCCACACTACCCCCATTTCCTGGATATCTGCAGTCAGGAGGGGCATAGCCACTATCACAATGACAATGCTTATAATTGTTGCAAACTCCTCTCCCAAAACAACTTTCATCTGGTTTGCAGGTAGAGGAGGATGCCTTGTAAACAACGCAGGTATGATCCTTGCAGACTTTATTCGTGCCACAGTAAGTGTCACTGCTCACATCTCCATAGTCAGACTGATCATTGTTGCTATCTATGCTCCAACACCAGTCATCATAATGAGCAACCTGGATCACTGTATGCTGGGGTGGGATATATGGCACAAAATGAAGACCTGTACATACAAGTTTCCCACATAATATGTTATCACCTACACATGGAGCATATGTTGGTTGAGTTTGAGAAGTGCGCTGACAATTTCCAAACCGGTTCGCTTTACTGTTCAGTGAAAAGTAACAGTCCTCTGGAGCAGATCTTGCAAGTGATCCATATATACCCACGCATTGATTATCAGGGTTCTGACACCTACCCGCAAGGCAAAGGTAAATTCTGTCACATGATGTGCCATCTTGCATGTAGACATCTGGAGGGCACCTGCCAGACCTACCAGTGCAGTACTCTGGAAGGTCACAATTATCATTAATAGCACGACATAAAGCCCCCTTTCTTTTAATCTTACATTGTATGCAGCATAATCCACTGCTACACTGTGCACCGACCTTTAATCTACATGTTGAGTCACAGCAAGGGTCCAGGTCACAGGCAGTGCCACAGTCACACTGCTCTGAGTCATCTACCACTCCATTGCCACAATTTCCGGTCCTGCGCACACGACTTCTATGCCACGGCTTGTTAAACAGGCAGGCCCCTCGGTGTTCACGAAGAAAGTGGTAGAAGTAGTCAGAGCTGCAGTTGCTGAAGCTGCTTTCTTTAGTGACATTTTCACCCATGAGGCAAAAGGGTTGACCTTTACAAGCACAGGCTGAGTGGTCATGCTGAATGCCAAGGTTATGCCCAAGCTCATGCACCATGAGTGCTGCAAACAGGAGGACGTCTTCATGATGGAAGGATTCCACAGCTGCCGCAAACCCACCTGAGCAGGCCCCGTTGAGAAATGCCTGGCCCATATTCTCTCCAGGGTGATGCCCAACAATCATGTGGGCAACATCATACCTCACATGATGGACGAGCTCCTCTTGTCTCCAGCTGTTGAAGTTCCTGAGTGTGACTTGTAAGTCTTCAGCAACCTCTACCAGGTTCCTCTCAGTCCAAATCTCCATTCCAGCCAGCACCACCTCTGTGTTTATTCCCCTAGTGAAACTGTTGACCAGAGCAATGATGTCCATGACTCTCTGAACTGTCTCATTGACGTTCCTGCCCCACATCTGGAACCTCTGGTTGTCGACCACAACAAACATCTCCACATACTTGATGTGTGACCACAAATAGGTCAGCGCCTGTGAGTTAGGAAGCCTCTTGCCACCTAGTTGCTGACTGGTAGACACTCCTTGGCCGCCTTTAGAAGTGGCACCACAGGAGACTCGAGTTCCATGTGCCATGGTGTACAACACATGTTCAAATTGTTTGGAAGAACGTAAGGGCTCAATGCTATAGGTTGTCTCCCCCTTTACCAGAATGCCCCTGAGGCCTGAACAGGTGTTGATAGACACGAAAGAGCCTGGCACCCCTTCTATGTAGCCTTCATAGTGGCAGTCGTGTGGAATGAAAAGCATTTCTTGCTCTAGCACCCCATCGTGATAGCTGTAGACTGGAAAGTCATTCACGAAATAATCTCTCTTCACATTTAGGTGAATCAGGTGCTTCTGGCCTTGTATAAATAGTACATATGAGGGCTTTCCTCCTGGTTTTTGATTTCTCTCAACTGGCAGATTCTCAGGAATAATTATTTCATAGAAGGAGTAATATGTTGAACTCAGGTGACAGTATATGCTTGGTAAAAAAATCAACAATATCAAAATTTCTAACCTGAGATATGAGAGACCTAGCTGTAACCATAACCTTAAGTTCCATTTCTGTTGAGCCCAAGTCTTAAGCTTTGTCTTAGCCACTTGCTTCATCTGAAGAGAAAGCAGGAGCGAGGTGGAGTCTCTCAGTGTTGCTACCTGTGACATGGCCATAGTGCATCAGTTGATGAGACAGGGTCTGTGTCAGCAACAGCTCTTCTTAGACACTCAGGGTGGTAGCGCCAAGTTTCTGCTGGCCCTCTTCAGTTGGCTGCTGTTTAATTCTGAATCTTACCGTCTTAAGACTATCCTTTGGTTCTTGCTTGTCTTCTGGCCGTCAGTAGTAGTATCATTAGTGTATTTATGACTTCCTTCCAACACCAACAGCTTTAGTGTTCCTTGGCTACATTTCCCTTTTATCTTTACCGTGAGAGATACACAAAGCAGAAAGCTGGTAGTGACTCAGCTAGTACTGTAACTCAGGAAAATTATGCTTTATCCCAAGCCCAGGCCACACTACTTCTGAGAGCCGTTAATCTGCTCATTCTTTGAAAACCAACATTCTGGCAGGGTGCTGATGGGGGGAGGGGACAAGGATTCTCTGGGGATCCCCAGCCAGGATTGTTCTCTGTTGCCCACTGCCTCTTCTCATTTCTAGTATTCAGGATGCCATTTCTCCATTCAGCTCTCCTGTGCCAGTGACTGTTTTTTTTTCCCCTCCCCCTGTCCATTCTACAAACAGTACAGAGTCCATTTGGGAGATGTGGTTTGTTCGAGGAGCTTCACTGGCCCACGTTTGAGGTACAGCAGCTGAATATCTAAGGTTTTCCTGAACTTCCAACCTGGTGCTCATCTTTCTGGCCAGATGAGTTCAGCTGAAACATGGGTGACTGAAGCTCAGATGCTCACACTGAAATGAAGTATTTGGGGTACCCTTCTATGTCCTGCCCAAATTCATTCGCTACGTAATGACGGGGCAAAAGTCATCCTGAGTTTTTAAGGCACCCAAAATAGCAACTTTGAGAAGGTAATAGTAGACTGGCTATGCTAGAAGTTCTCCTTAAAGAGTGGAACTACTTTTCTGGACCCACAAAATACTGAATTTCTCTGCCTTAAACAAAACTGTGTATGTTCAGAGATTATAGAAACAGGTGCTGACTTTTCCTGACTACAAGAAGTGATTTGCAAGATAGCATTTTAGGGCTGGCATTCTGGTATAGTGGGTAAAAGCATCACCTGTGGCATCAGTATCCCACATGCGTGTCAATTCAAGCCCCATATGCTCCACTTCCTGTCCAGCTCACTATTAATATACCTGGGAAAGCAACAGATGGCCCACAAGCTTGGGCCCTGAGACTAGGAAGAAGCTCCTGGCCCAGCTACACCAATTATAGCCATGGAGGGTAAACCAGCAGATGGAATCTCTATCTCTGCCTCTGGCTTTCATGTAAATGGAAAAAAGAAATATTTTTTTACACTGCATTTCAGTAAGAAATAGAACGGGCTTTAATTCAACTCACAGCCAAATTTTCTGTCAATGAACAGTGAAAAAAAGAAAAATTGTTCTACTCCATTGTCTAACTCTTAGATTTTCCCATCTTAAAAAAATAATTTAATCTTCTTGACAAGGTTTCCATTTATAAGACGTATCATCTAAGATTAGTGAATTTTATCTCAAAATACATCTTGAATTAGACTATTCTCTGAGCTAATAAGGTAATTCTTTTTTTTTTTAAGGTTTATTAATTTTACTGGAAAGTCAGACCTACAGAGAGAAGGCGAGACAGAGAGGAAGAACTTCTACCCACTGGTTCACTCCCCAAGTGGCTGCAATGGCCAGAGATGAGCCAATCCAAAGCCAGGAGTCAGCAGCTTCTTCTAGATCTCCCATATGCATGCAGGGTCCCGAGGTCCTGGGCCATCTTTGACTGGTTTCCCAGACCACAAGCAGGGAGCTGGATGGGAAGCAGGGCCTCTGGGACACAAGCTGGCACCCATATGGGATCTCGGTGCATGCAAGGCAAGGACCTTAGCCACTAGGCTACCACACCAGACCCAATAAGGTAATCCTTAAAAGATGCTGTGTTTTTGTGAAATATTTCCAGTCAGTCACACATTTATGGGGACATATTAAAATGCTACTTGAGGACATACTCGGCAGAGTGAGAGGTTAAAAAATAAATCAACTCTGAGATTGAGAAGAATATGGGGAAAAACTGAATAATGGAAACTACATATCCTCTTGCTCTGCTCTGTGAATTGGAAGTTTGCCTGCTAGCTCTTTTATTTACCAATGCAGGCACCAACCAAAAAGTGCTTCAAGGACCCTGTGTTATAACCTAGTGGCTAAAGTCCTTACTTTGCATGCACCAAGATCCTGTATCCCATATGGGTGCAGGTTCGTATCTTGGCTGTTCCACTTCCCATCCAGCCCCCTGCTTGTGGCCTGGGATAGTCAAGGACGACTCAAAGACTTGGGACCTTGCATCTCTGTGAGAGACCAGGAAGATGCTCCTGGCTCTAGCTGTTGCAGCCATCTGGGGAGTGAACCAGCAGATGGACCTTCTTCTCTGTCTCGTTCTCTGTAAAATCTGTCTTTCCAGTAAAAATAAGTCTTTAAAAAAAAAGAAGTGCTTCAAAAAAGAGCAAGAATAGGATCCAATGCGGTGGCCTAGTGGCTAAAGTCTTCGCCTTGAATGTGCAGGTGATCCCATATGGGCACCAGTTCTAATCCTGGTGGTGCCACTTCCCATCCAGCTCCCTTTTTGTGGCCTGGGAAAGCAGTTGAGGACGGCCCAAAGCCTTGAGAACCTGCACCCGAGTGTGGGAGACCTGGAGGAAGTTCCTGGCTCCTGGCTTCGGTTTGGTGCAGCACCAGTCGTTGTGCTCACTTGGGGAGTAAATCACTGGGTAGAAGATCTTCCTTCTGTCTCTCCTCCTCTCTGTATATCTGACTTTGCAATAAAGATAAATTTCAAAAAAAAAAGGAGCAAGAATAAAGTGTTGGGGTTGGTGGGTGCGATGGTTGAACCAGACCAATCCTCTACCTCCAAGTGCTGACATCTCATATGGGCGCTTGTTCTAGTCCTGGCCACTCCACTTCCCATTCAGCTCCCTGCTTTTGGACTGGGAAAGTAGTCGAGGATGGCCCAAGGCATTGGGACCCTGAACTTGCATGGGAGACACAGAAGAAGCTCCTGGCTTCAAATTGGCTCAACTCCAGCTGTAGTGGCCACTTTGGGAGTGAAAAGCAGATGGAAGATCTTTCTCTCTGTGTCTCCTTCTCTATAAATCTGACTTTCCAATAAAAATAAATATTAAAAGAGAGAGAAAAATTGTATCATCTTGTATGCTAATCCAAAATGTGATTTCATTTATAACTTTCTTGGGAAAACCATTCCCAAAAGGAGTCCAGAAGAATCGGGAAAGGAAGTTAGAAACAATTTAGTTGGTGACAAATAAAGACAAAAGAGGACCCTGGGAGGCAGAGAATCATGTGAAGAATAAACTCCCATTAGAATTCCATTAGAGTAGAGAAATACCACGGTACCCTTTGAACAAACACAACACAAAAGATACACTACTGTTGTTCTCTAAAGTTTAGGAACAAGAGAAATGTTCCTCCTCCTGTCCCATGAGAGCCTAAGGCCCCCAAGTTTGCATCTTTGTGGTACTAACTAGAGCTAAACTATTAAGAGTTCAGCAAATACACAGGACAACTGAAACCAGATTCCACAGTATTTGATTGAACTGTTTACTAGGCAATAAGTTCAGTATGGTTGGTCCTGTGTCTACCTCTGGCTTTTGTGCATAGTTTATTACATATAAAACAAATCTTGTTTGACAGTACCATCTATCATGTTACAAATATATACTTACTAAGCAGTCCTAAAGTATTTTATATATTTCTAGGTATGGAGCTTCTCTTTAAAACAAATAATATCTATACTATTAGTAAATATTTTACCTAAATCTATACAGCAACTTTAAGCAATGTGGAAATGAAATAAGGATTTATTAATTTACATTAAAAATTACATTATACATTAAAGAATAATTTTTCAAAATGTTAAAAAACAAAGTTTGAAGCTGTCATTATTGGGATTCAGGGGAAGTAGTCTGCTCTTCTATCACTTGCTTCACAATTTCTGCCAATTTCAGTCGATCAACTTTATCTGTGAATCCACGACCTGAAACCCAAGAAAGAACAAAGTTAGTTCTCAAACTGGGTCCTGAGAGGGACACCTTACCAGTGTCAGATTCACCCTCACCAATGGGGTAACCATGCCTACCTTGATCAAAGATAGTTTAAACATCCCCAAGCCCCCATTTTTTAGTTAGCAGTTGAATAATTCCATTAACCTAACAATAAAATTCCAAAGTTTACTACAATAATACAAAATCACACCACAAGGTGAGATCTTTGTAATATATTATCTACCTGACAAAAGAGTTTCATCTAGAATACAAAAGATTTAAATTGGCATTTCAAGGAAGTCTAAATGGTTGGGTAACACAAACACAAACACTCTGTAATACTACTTTATACGTCAGAGTGACTAAAGTGTAAAACTCATCAGTGAGAGCTCACATGGATATACAGAAACTGGAGCTATCAAACACTGCTAGATAGAGTTCAAAAACTTGTAGAATCACTTTGGGTAACTGGTGGTAGTACCTACAAAAGGCAAACATAAACTGTATGAACTAGCATTTCTTTTCCTGGATATGTAAGAGAAATGAATTAATCAAATTTCTCATTGAAAGACATATACAAGAGTATTCATAGCAGCCCTTCATTATCAAAACCCAGAAAGAAGTCAATGGCCATTCAACAACAGAACGGATATATGTGTTCATCTCCATACAAGGAGATGAAAACCTGCTGCTATGCCAAACAACTTGGATGGATCTCACACATACAGTGTTGATAAAAAGCTCAGCATGGAACAACAGACTCATCTAATCCCATTCACATAGAATGCAAAACCAGGTGAAAGAATCTATTTTGCTGGGAATCAGGACTGTGAGTACTAGTGAACAAGAGAGGGAAGTGAAGAGCCCAAGGGTGTGCCAATTACAAAGTGCAAACTTCCTACTAATTGTTTCTAAGTGAGGGAAGGCAGTGCAAGCTGGTACTTTGTATTTCTTACAGAATGTCCAAGAAATAGGCA